ATACCAAAGTTATTGACATAAATTCATGAAATAGTACTTCAATAAAATTTTGAATGCAAGTCAACAAATGAGGTGACATGGCCTTTCACCTATGACCCGTCTCGAAAGGGTAAAGGACACGTGGTCAGAAAAGTGATTTTGCTTGAAATGAACTTAGGAGGTATTGAAATTAGACAGGCTTTTGATTAAGAACATTTGATATTTCTTCTTTTTATGTAGTTATTCTTTTTGTGTGTTGATTTCCAATTGATTTGATGGCCAGAATCTCATAGAAAAATGGCGTTGCTTATGTTTCTATATTTGATACATATATATATATATATTTATGTTCAGGAATTTTCATATTAACACTTCTTCCAGTTTTACCTACATAATCTTTTTCACAGGATTAGCATGGTATAATATATATCTTTTTGTTTTTTGCCTTCTAGTGTAGCTTTATTTGAAGTTATTTTTAATGATGTTTGATTATTTGTAAGTGATTCTACGGTTATTCTTTTTTAAAAGTTTTACAAGGGGCTCAATTTTTGTATTGTAGAAATATAAAATGGTTTCACATCATTGCTGGTTGGACAAAAACCATTATTGTAGGCTTAGTCTTAGTCCATTTGACCTTGTTCAAAGTTACTGATGATAGATGGCATTCTACAGAACTCGTATAATTTAGTGACTTGTTGTGAATCAAGTGATATTTATTTTTAATATTTCTCATTATTTAAAAATAAATCTAAATATATATGCTAAGTGTAATCAGGATATTACAAGTATGGTTTTATGTGCAAGTAAATATATTAACAGTGGTTTAATATCTGTAAGACTTGTTTAATTATTAAATGATATGTGATTTTTGTGCAGGTCTCTCCAATATGATGATGGATGGTGAGTTTCTTCGTACTAGCTGTGGCTCACCCAATTATGCTGCTCCTGAAGTCATCTCTGGAAAGTGAGTACAAAGTTTCTGTTGAATTAATCAGATGTTAGTTTTATTTTCATTGAAATTTTCTTAAGGTTTTCAAACAGCTGTAATAAACTGAAAAGTACATATAATCAAGTAGTACAAAACTATCTTGTTTCAATTATCTGATATCAGTAGTAAAAACCAGCTTGTATGAGTGTAACATATGCAAATATTTGACATTGATACAAACCTCAATGATCTTTGGCTAGATATTGTAAAATTAATCTAGAATTGATTGACTAATTTTAGAATAAACAAAAAGCTGAGTCTGCAGAACAGTGCAGGTGAGTAAGATAGTTTTCTAGCCCCTCATCCTAGGTGTGGATGTGCACACAGGCCCTTCACTAACTATGTTACTACTCTTGTCAAATTTAATGATGCAACAAAACAATAGAACTATAAATTAAGTCTACACATTGATTTCTATTTCATAAAGTTTGAGCAAATGTTACAGTGGATAGGCTGTAATTAATTTGAGAGAGAAAGGGTTTTTTCTTCACTAGTGACTGATAGGTAAAGTCAGACATGAAGATCCAGACAGAATTTTAGCAAGTTTCTTGAGTTAAGTTTTGACAAGTCAACAGTGCAGTGCAGGAAACTGAATAATAAGCTGCCTTTTTGTAGTTGCTCAAAGCTTACTTCTATAGATTTAAGGGCATGTTGACTGACAATGTTGTTAACTCTTTCAGTATGGGGTCAGTCAATGTGATGAGCTCATAACCATTTTGTGCTTGTTATAGTTTTCATGCTATAACTTTTAAATGAAAAAGCGAATGTTAACGAAATATGGCATATTATTAGTAAACATTACAATGCTTTCATATGCAAAATATCTAATTTTTTTGTTAAGTCATAAGGTTCGTAAAGCAATGTTTCTTTCATGCCTTTTTTTTTTCTTTTCACATCTTGCCTGTCTATCCTGCAAATTAATTTTCATTTTAATATTAAAAATACTTTTATGCATCAGAAAATTTTGAAATTTCACGTGAGAGATCTTTGTAATGTCCAGATAGTTATCAAGCGTTTCTTAAGAAAAACTTTATATTTTATCTGTTATTTTCAGTAATCAATCTCTGTACGGGTTCGGTAGATTTGAATGATCTCACAACCACCATAAAAAACTAAGAAATAAACATAAATTATGGCTCTTTCATTCTAGAATGAACACAAGTTATAACACGAAAACATAAATGTTTAGATGAAACAACTTAAATCTTAAAGAAATAAACATAAATTATGGCTCTTTCATTCTAGAATGAACACAAGTTATAACACGAAAACATAAATGTTTAGATGAAACAACTTAAATCTCGTAACATTATACATTTATATATATTTATTGTTTTTATTATATTGACCTTTCACCAATGCCTGCCTAACAATACAGAAGTTACAATGACGCGGCTCACGTGCACTCATGTTACCGTATCAAATAACATAAAGGTGACCTTTGGTCTGTACAGTGTAACTTGGCTGTGTTTTAGTTGACTAATATTTTGTAAAATACAGTCAC